TCTGGGTCATTGATATTAGTTTATAAGTGCACACATTCATTTTTCACGAGTGTTTCAAAGTGTTAGATATGTGAAACTCCAGACAAAGGTAGCTTTCTGCAGTTGGGAAGTGTATCCTTTTCTATAGGCTGAAAATGTGGATACTATATAAAGAAATTTGGACTGCCAAATGAAATCACAAGTAATGCAAAGACATGCTGCTTGGAGCCTGTCAAAACCCACTTGCTGTTTTGGGTGGCATTCAACTGCCAGCAGTAAGAATTTGATGGGCCTTTATTTCACACCTTCAAAGAGCTTTAAACAGCTCAAAAGCCTAACTGAGGAAAACACTGGGGAGGAAAATATAAACAAGTGTGAGTGCAAACAAAAAAGGAATAAACGCCCGGAGAGTAGACTTCTCTGAAGCTCTATGATGGCCAGAGAATAACAGTGGAAGTGCTTTGAACATCTTTTTTCCAGTCTCCACAACATTCAGTAATACTTACCTCATAACTCTTTGTCATAGGACAAAATAATTACTGTGGTAGAGCAACTGCATGCGGATTCTTCTACTGATGTGACAGAAATTAAAATGACTGTAAGAATTTAGCACTGATCATTGATGTTGTCCAGTTATGTCTCTCACTGAATCACTGTCACACACAGTTTTTAATTGTGTTATATAATTTTCCAAACACAAGTGACAAGAAAGAAAAACATATATTATTTGATTACAAGATTTTTATAATAAGGGTTAATTTGGTTTGTAGTTTCACCTTTTTTAGTGAGAATGCCCTTTTTATATAGAGAATTTCTCAAGAACCTTTGATGTGCCAGCATGACCTACTTGTCAGCTGAAAAAGTGTCCTGCATTTCACAGATAAATCTACTTACCTTTATAAATTTTCATTGCTAATTTATGGTGGGGTTGTGGAAGGGGGATTTTTGTTTTGTTTCAGTTTAATTTCTACAGTTCTTCATTTTGCTCTTGCTCTTAAATCTCATTTATAAGTAGAATGCTTCCAGCTGAATTAATCATCAACCATGCTTTTCTTTTAACAATAGCCAGCTAGGCCAGGCTCTGTCTAGCCCATACAGATATTAGAGATAAGACATATCCAGGCCTTTCCTCCACTGTGAAACTCAGTGGGAGAAGTCACAAACGAGTGTGGAAGGAGCTGAGAGCCATCAGTGTAGAGAGTGCACTCCTTTCCGCTTGGTTTGGGGCTGGCTCTGCTCTTTGTTTTAGGAGTGATGCTACCAGAACAAGATTCACCTTCCTCTTGTGCTCTTGATGTCCTGGGCTTCAGCAGGGTCCATTGTGTCCACTGTTCGATCTGCCTCCTGGCCAGCTGTGTCCAAAGCCACCAGATCCAGTGGGGTGTCCCAGTGTTGAGGAGTAGCAGCCAAAGGGCTACAGCTCAGGATGTGATGAAGATGCCGTTGGTGTAGCCCTGCTCAGCACAGCAAGGCCTGAGGATCCGATGCAAAAAGGTGATAGAGATGGCTGAAGTGGGACTTACACACAACTTCCTCCAGCCAAAATCAGAATCTGGGAAGCCCTTACTCAGTTGCTGATAAACCTTGGGTCTTAAAACACACAAGTGTTTTGTTTTGTTTTTTTTTTTTTTTTTTTCTTGCAATACAACAGTCCTCGGGTACCTAGCCACTTACAGAAGGGACAGCAGCATCTTTGACAGCCCGAGGACACAGCCCCAGGGAGGCTGACCGAAATGCCTCTGTGAGGTTTAATGCTGTGGCATTTCTCCCCAAAGTCTTGTCAGCTCTAGAGTAGCTAAAAAGTACACTTCTGCAGATGTGATATCGGGCAGCTCAGGAAGGAACTGTGTCAGTTCCCACTGCCCAGAGCTGTAGACCTTTTGATCACACTGTGGCAGCTCCCTTCTCTTCTGCTAAACATGGTAATAATGTTATATTGCCATGGCAATTGTACGTTAATAATGCCAGGGTATTGCACAATTATGGTACTTCTCTTAATGTTGGAGGCATATTCATAAATTGCCCTACAAGCACTTCAAAAATAAAAGCTTTTGTAGCTCTGGTATCAAATGAACCTGAAATTATTATTTCAAGTTAAACAATTATGCTATTTGAAAAATGCAGAGTACCATATGATAGGGTTAGAAGTAGCATGTGTATGATGGCCTTCACACAATTTTCTAACACACACTGTAGAGGTATTTCAGTTAGTAAAACACAAATATAGAGAGACCTTTTTGTTTTAAAGTATGCTTTTTAATAAAAAGTAAATTCATATTAGCCATGTCACATACACATACATGTGTAGCAGGTCTCCTATCTCAAAAACCATATATTGAGCTGAAAATGTTCATAGAAAGGCAACAAATATGATCACATATCTGTAATGGCTTCATAAAAACCAAACAGGCTGAGAATCATCAGTATGGAAAACGATGTCTTAGGAAGGATATTATTTAATGGATGGAGAAATATATATGAATAAGCTATTCACTGTCTTCTACAGTACGAAACTCAGAATGACCATAGAAAGCTATTTGGAGCCAGTTCCAATCAAACAAAGACAATTTGTTGCGGTGTGTTATACAGATAGGCACTTCCCTCCAAGGATGTTTACGTGGGAGTAAAAGACAGTCTGGACAAGTAATTGGAGCTATCCACTGGGGCTCATAGACTCCTCTGAGCCTCCTCAGGTGAAGGCTGAGAAAATACAAGTAGGAGGTGTTGTCTCTGCCTGCACAGTTCCTACTTTAGACGATGTGTCCATGTATGGCTGCAGCTGCTGTCAGAAACACCCTGCCAGAAGAAGCAGGAGCAGGGCTGGGCAATTAAAAGGTAGGAGCCACCAGTAACCGTGGTGCAGGAGTCCTTCACCATCCCACGTGCTGTCACACACAGTTCAAACGCAGTGGGCAGTGCTGGGTGCTGGTAGCAAGGTTGATGAACAGCCCCAGACATGGCAAGGAGCAAATCCAGTCACGGACCCATCCAGGGAGCCCATCCGATGAGCAAAAGGGAAGCAGACTGGAGGCAGGGCTGGAGATGGAACTATGCTGTGGTTCCAGAGCCCACCCAGGAGGCAGGGCCAGAGTCAGGACTGCATTCAGATATACACTCACGGTAGATCTCAGACGGGGTCTGAGTTCCTGTGTCTAGGCTGAAATGGGGCTCATGTGCCACGGGCAGAGACTGTGCTCATGCTGAGGCTTGTGAGGACAAGTAAGGTCTACTGGTGTCCTCAGGGGCCTGACATACAGGTTCTTTAAAGCTTCATGTCAAAGGACTCAGTGCAGAGCACATCTAATCTAAATGAAGAGCTCTGCCCTTATCTTCATGCTGCTCCAGAGGACCATGCCTGTGTTTCATCCATGGCAAAACACTGCTTGTTTGTGAAGGACTATGGTTGACAGCTGCTTCAGATGAAGCATCCTTATTAGAAGTGCAAAGCTTCTGATGAAGTGTGGAGTCCACTACAAAGCGATCTATACTTTTTGCCTGGCTCTAGTCATTAGTTGCAGAAATAATTAGATAAGCCATTTACTAACAGTTAGTTTCAACTTTGGTAATAACCACTATATAAAGAACTATCTTGAAATGGTGGTTTCAACCTTCCTAAAAGCTCTACATTGCAGCACAGAAGAGTTGAGAAGACAGGAGTTTGCAGCTATTCTATCCTACTGCATTTACAAGTCCATAACACTGCACTATAAATTACTCGTACAAATAATAATATTTATAATAATTCTGTATAATATTAATTAACAATATAATATAATAGTAGGATTTTGTCAAAACCCTACCTGAATTATTACTCTGAAATTCCACATTTAGGGACTTCCAGGTTTTTGTGAAATTTTAAGGTTTTTCTGGGTATTTTCAGATGAAACTACAGTAGTATAAACTGTATTATACAACTCTGCTTTAAAGCTTCAATTAACCAGTCTACTACATGTTAATGACAGTTCACATTTTCTTGTTTCATATTGTTCCTAATCAACTGGAATAACAGGTTGCCATGGAAGACTGAATTAAACTCTATGTGACATTAATTACATTTATGTCTTATGTTTAATGATACAAAGCTGTTAACTGCATTGTAGTTACTAGTGATGGATTTTAGAGAAAGCAAAGCTGTTCCAAATTTCATTAAAAAATGAAAGAATGGGAGGATACTTAGTGGGATTCTTTCCTTGTAGATTTAGGTACTGCCTAGGAATCTGGAGAGGCACAGAATAAGGTGACAGATCTGCTTCTTAGTGCCAAACTTTTTTTTCTTTTTCTGATTATTGTTGAGATGTGATGATTGGCAGAAAGGGTGTGCATGGAGGAAACCTGTCTCTAAGAGCCAGAGAACAGAAACATGGCATTAACATCTCATAAGGTTCTTTTCTGGCATCACTCCCTCTGAGCCTGCAAAAAGGTTGCTCACAGGTGGGTCTTGCCAGTCACCTTTACCTCTTAGACAAATGTTCACTCAAACCCCCAAATCATACTTGATGTTCTATTTATAGCATGACCGTCACTTTCATTAAGAAGAAAATGAAGAGTCTATCTCGGTAGAAGAAAATAGAAAGAGTTGGATATCTACTCTCTTTAACTGGAGTCACAAGTGGTTATCATGTCTCTTTATAAAAAATCTTTAGGCAATAGTCATACATTAAAACATGTTAGACCATTGCTCAGGAGAGAAGTGAATTTCTGGAATGATCAATCAGGTGACACAGTTGGGACAAGAAGTCTTAACTGTCTGAAGACAGAGGCTAATAAGTGCTCCGAGGATAAGAGAAGGATTATCCTTTTGCCTTGATAATTCAAGATAAGTTTGAGAATTAAAGTTTGAGGCTTTAATTTGTTGCTGTATCAAGGCATTGAAAAGAAACTGATTTCATACACTTTATGTTGAATGCAGTTCATCAGTCCTTTGATTCAGCTCTTACACTGATCATCTTCAAAGACAGTAAAAGATTCATTTCCATAACCCTTTCACAAAAAGTTTGTATTGTCTTTTGCTGTTGTTCCAGATTTCCTGATACAGTGAAGACTGTAAGATGTAGCCTGGCACTTCTGCTACTTTTGAGAAATTTCTCAAATACCAGGTGAGTCCAAATTGTTCACACATTTCTGATTTAACAGTCAGTCACCAGGTGCTGATACAGAAAATAATTTTCTGTCAAGACAGATTGAAGGGATGACTATCTTGAACACTACCTAGTGCAAATAAAAGATTTTCATCGCTGATGAAGTCCTTAATCTCTCCAGTGTTACACTATAGGTCCTAGTATGTAGATGTTAGTGAAAAAGATTCTCCTTCAGGACAGATCAAATACTCTAATCATTTGGCATTCATTATTTTTCAAGTATCACATATTACAGTTTACATATTTCACTCAAAGTTTCAAATTAAAATTCAGTCATGTTTTTCAGCTCTAAAATCTATGTTTTTTCCTAAGTTTATTTTTAATTCACTGTGGATTTCTACATCTTCACCTTTCATAGTATAGTCTGGATACCCATGGGATATTCCACTACTTTTTAACAGGCAGGAAAACTGTAACGATATAAACATGAGTAGGCTTGTAATATACTTGGACTATAAATAACTGGTTTTAATACATATTTTTTTATTAAAAATGTCCTCATTTGTCTTTCCTACCTGGATGGCTCCAGTTGAAAGTGAACAGATCTATCAACTCATTAGAAATACAGGATATAGAGATTTTTTTCTGACAGTGTCATTCTCACATCAGAAGAAACTAACATTTCAATTCTGAAAGCAAACGCTGTCAGTACTGTCATTTTTGTAATTGTGATGAGAAGTCTCATATTATTTTCTTCCTAAAACCCAGCTTCTGGTAATGCGGTCTTATAATCAATTTTACTTTTATTTCACTTGTTAAAAATTAAGACATCAAACAATAACATAGGTTCTGTTAAACTACATAATTATTCAAAACATTTCTGATTTTATTTATGCTTACATCTTCATAAGGTGAGTTTAATTTGTGATTTAACAATCAAAGGTTGATTGTACTTTAGATTCTTCTTTTTAATGATTGCTCAGAACAATTGTTCATTTTGATATTTTGTTGCAGTGTAACACATCCATTTTTCAAGTTTAGTTTCAGTGGGATTTTTTAAAGGTGTTCTTCCAAAATATATTTTTTCTGGTAGCAGTTGCTATGAGCAGTGCCACTGAATAATAAAGTTTGCTACCACAGGAAATGAATTTCCTACAGCTTTTTCTTATAAGTACTTTGTCTGAGTTCTCATAATTTTATTTGGTTCTTTTAATTAAAGTCAGTGTCTGCTTTGGAGCACTGTTTATAGATTTGGACATGACAATGTTCAATTCCTCCCTCCACATTAATTAGGAAATGTTTGAGTTTGTACATCCTCTGATGATCAGAGCCTGTTCTTGGATGCCTTCTCTACACTGTAGAAATGCCAGCAAATTCAGCAGAAACAACAGAGGTGTGTGTTCAGATAAATAAGATCAGAATCTGCTGTCAAAAGCCATTTCCATGGCTGCTCCTGACCTCCTTCATTCTGTGAAAATACCCATTATTGCTCTTTGGGGCAAGCCTGCATGTCCTGACCCCTTCCTACCAGGGTTTGTGAAATATCTCTACTGACAGCCACAGTGCTGAGAAATGCCCAAGGCCGAGCTCAGGGCAGGATGAGTGGGAGCAGAGTGGGTGCCAGGCTCAGCTGTAGCTGAAACGGGCCCTTCCTCCACAGCACTGGACATTGTGACTTTAGCCAGAGATAATTCTGCCAGTTATTAGCATACCTTTTTCTCTGCTTGGAGAGGTGCCAGGGTTTCTTTAAAGGATGCTTTGAGATTGTACATGAAACTTCTAACAGCTCTTGGTGAGGTGACAGACAGTGGTCTCAAAGTGAGGGGCAGCAGGAGGCACTAGAAATCAGCTGCAACTCACACAGATTCTGCTGTAGTGGCTGGTCCTCAAATCAGCAGACTTTTGCTGTGTCTTACAATCTCCTCCCCTTCACAAACAGTCCTTCCCCAGGCAGAATAAGTCTGGCGGATTATTATTTTGAATACAACATGCAGGTGGATTTCCTCAAAATCTCTTGTGCTGCAGCAAACATAACCGTGTGCCTTAGAACAACTGTTGTCCTGGTGCATGGTGGCTCTCGTGTTGGCCCAGCCTTGGTCGTGAAATACACAACATCAGCTTTGGCTGACACTCAGGGATCCATTTGCTGTGATATTAAAAGGGCAGTAGCGAAGGAATTAAAAATGAAAGCTACATCTGTGCAAGTCACATGAACTACTTTGCACATTGAGCTTTGCTGAGCTAAAGATATCTTTATTATTATTGCTGCACTGCTGTCTTCAGTAACTAATTCAACTAGAAGAACATTTCCTTTCATGGCAGCTATTTCAAATCCTGGAAAATGAGGAAACTGCAACAATAAAAATAGCCCACCTCTTCTGACAGTTTGTAGAAGTTTGTGTATTTCCACAGGTAACTTCTCTTGTGCAGGTCATGCTCTGTATGAATGTCAGTCACGGGGTCACTTAGCCTGCTGCAGTGACCTTCAAGTGATCCAGCCACCCATCAAGATCATACTTGTTGTTAACAAAACATAAAATTGATTACAATTGAGATAAATAATTTGAAATGAAAATGTAATTGAGATGAGAAGATGAAGAAATGAATATTGAATCTAATGAAGTAACTTAAAATACTACAAATTAAGTTTACTTTGATTCCTTACACTAATTGCCAAAGTTTAAATATGCAACAGGCTTTGAATTTAGGAAGACAATGTTGACATCCTTGAGACATCCTTTCATGGTTTTATTCCAGCAGCCAGACTCCATACAAGACCTCTGACCCTCCACAGCCTCATTCAGGTGGAAACTCTAGAGTATTGAAAAGATGAATACCAAAATTTCCCCTGACTTCCACTGGTCCAGAATGTCACTATTCATATTTTAGTAACAACAGACAAACACCTGGCAAACTTGTTCTCCTAACTGCATGTATAAAAATTTTCTTCTCAGCTAAAACCAAACTAATAAGAAAAATAAAACACTTTTCTATGTACCTATTTCCATTACACTTAAAGATGAGTTATGTAGGGAAGAAATACTTACACAGAGATTTTTTTAAAAGCCCCTGTATGTAATTTTGCTTTCAGTAAAAAATATTTCAGGTGACTTAACCAGTTTTCTGAGTCCTAGCCTTTATTTTAACAAAGTCACCCCCAAACCTCTCTTGATTTCAAATTCCACATACCATCCTGAGCAGCTCTATAGGCAGGGAAAGTACTGCCAGTGTCTCCTTCTGGAAATAGGTAGCAGCGCAGCCCACGAGAGGATTGACATGGCAGGTTTAGCCAGCTAGGAGCAGCGTGAGGAGGGGCTAATGCCCAGACATCTCTGGTCCTCCTGAGCTCCAGCACATGGCAAGGTGCAGTGGGTTTTCAGGGGTCAACAGACTATGGTCTCAGTCTGTAGAAGACAAACGTGGATGCTTACTCCAAGAAAACCCTTAAGTCCAGCTGCCCATCACATGGGGGCTTGCTGAAAGTGTGAAGGGATCATAAACTTGTAATCTGAGTCCAGCAAACGACAATTTAAATATCACCATTGTCAAGTGTTTAATCACTCAGTAAACTCTGCTCACACTTTATGTTTATGTTGGTGTTTATCTTTAAAAACCCACTTGAGCTGAACTGAGTCAAGCCTCCAGGCTGGTTCATGGGCTGAACCATGCAGAGCAGCAGAATTTGTCAGGTGTTCTGGAAGAAGGTTTTCACCTTCCAAAACGGAGGATATTTCTCAATTATTATCTGAGATGCCTCATGGCCTTGCAGCAGCAGGGGTGAGCCACTAGGACTTACCTACCTGAACCACAGGTAAGGGAGGACCTAACTGAGAGAAATAGGGGGGAAACAGGTCTTTTTCTTTGCTCTAATTGCCCCTTCATGATGAAGACAGCAGCTGCTTCTGTTGAAAGAGTTCTCACAATAATTGAGGGCTGCTCACATAATTGAAATCCTACACAGAAAGACTATCTGATTGTGATTTCTCACATCATTCCTGTTCATCCAAAGGACTGGAACAGGCATCTTAAATCAAATTAATATCATTGCACACAACTTCATGATATAATCCCCTTTATACAGTCAAGGTAGAAAAGCAGACTGCACTCACACACTGATGCTAACCCTCAGCGTGTAGGACCTTCCTTGCACAGCACGAGGTGAGGCTCTCGACGGACTGTGGCAGCCAAAAACATTCAGGCAGGGACAGCGAAGTACCTCGAGGTCAGGCTATCCCACAGAGGCAGGTCACGGCGTGGCAGAGGGCAGCTCGCAGTGTCAGCCCAAGGTCATCTGGCTGCACACAGCAAGTCTCAGCTGTGTCATCAGCTGGATGCCACCAGTGCCAAGCCCTGTGGGGGCCTCATGGCTGGGCATGCCTGTGGCTGTGTGCACATCCTCTTCCCTGCCCCAAGAGCTGTCCCCGTGGCTGGGCACAGCCCCTGCTCCTCTGTGGCACTGGTGAGGCTGGGCCAGCTTGCCCTGGGGAGTGGATGACCATGCTGCTGCCTCTAACAGAGCCCGGCCTCTCCCAGGCACCCTGCCTACACTCACTCCTACCAGTCTCCAGCTGGCTGTCTAAACTAACAATCCTCATTAATGCTAATCAGCATTAATTAGGCATAGAAACCTTAGGCTTTCAAAAGGACAGGCTGTGCTACGAAGGAATGGATATGAACACACCTACAGCTATAGTAATGGCTCTACAACCTGCCACAATGGGGTTGCAATCTACTACACCTTTCATTCCCTAGTTCAGAATATAAATTGGCAATAAATCCATTCTTATCTTCCCCACAAAGCACCTCTACCTCTACCTCTCTCCCAGCTGATGCAGTGCTTCTGCTGCTGCTCATGGGCTGGTCTTTCTGCATGTGGGTCTTATCCAGCCCAGCTGAGCCACAGAGCACTAGAAACATTTCCTTGACTGCCTGTAGAGCTGGGACTATACAGTCTGAGCCTGATATTGTTGTTTGTTTATTTTTTTAACTGAATTACAGACAACAGTAGAGATGCCTTG